TGGGTAACCCAAAGACTCCGGGTCCATGCATCATCTTCCATTTGCACCAGAAGATTTTGTATTTCCCCATGTTGGTTTGAAAGGGAAACGATTTCACTACTGTTTTTTTTTTTTTTTTTTTTTCCTTTTTCCGCGGCTTGAGCAAACGAAGAGGAATGGAAGAAGTTGTCCCCTAAAAGGGCTTCCGTTTGGTCTAGCTTTCCAAGCAAAAATCAAATCTTATTTTGTGGTATTTTGACATTCCCAAGCGGATACTCACATCATGTCGTTTGATTGCTATTGCGCAACAAACCTTTAGACCTTGACTGTTTTGTTGCAATCATTCGGGTTTTTTCGGATTGGACCCACACAAAGTTGCAAACGTTTTGCAGAAGGGTCAACAGCAACCAAGTAAAATGGCAGGCTTCCTTTTGGTTCCCCTTTGAATAGCTTCCAGAAGGGGGTCGACTCGCTTCTCAGTTTGTGGGCGTTGTCGCGCCATGGCAGGAGGTAAAACTGTTTTCTTCGTGGTCTTGAGGTTTGGTGGGTCCTGGTCACGCCGACGCAAGAGGTGCTGGGCGGTATGCTGTTTCGGGCAAGATTATGTTGGTGGTGAACCAGCAGTTTGGACCACCCAGAAAGTGAGATAGGCATACCTATTACAAGAGACAAACTTGAATCGGTTAGATTGAAGTCAAACTAAGCTATGATCATAGAAGCAACATGTTAGAGCTTATTTAGCCCTTTCTGTTACCATTCCTGTCACATAGCAACTGTGGGGGGTACCGGGAAGATTCAGTTCCTCTTCCAGGGACCTTTTGTCAGGTGCCATGTTATTGGAGGGAGTGTACCGTTGAACATCTCAGCTGTTTCAGCATCAACTCGTGCAGGTTTTCCTCCAACAGGGCCTCCATATCAGGTCCGCAGTGTTTACTTCGTTTAGCACATCCATGGGCAAGGCAGACCGCGACGCGCTTAAGGCGACCTGTAGATGTGTACCGTGATTGTTTTGAAGGCGCTTCGGGTGAAAACTAGAGTAAACTCTTGTGGACTTGTGGATGAAATGGCAATATTCAGAATCAATTGCCCCAGAAGGTCCCTTGGTACCACCTGATGGCTTGAGGGTAAAAAGGTGTCGTTCAGTACCACAGGTAGTTGGAACCTTTGGGTGCCAAAAAACGCTTCCCTTTTCCTGCATGGCACTCCATGGCCACTAGAGTTCCGAGTGGGTATGGATCAAACCAGGAAATGGACCGCAGATGTTCGTCCACATGTCCATTATAAGGGATTCCCATTCTGGAGTTACCCTATATACCCAGTGCTCCCAGGTTTTTCGCCACTATAGTAGGTAACCAGGGGTTTCCCATGCATTGTGAAACTTGCAGGTAAAACCGCCGAAGGGATACCGACTATAGTGGCCTCTCGCGCCTGGAAGCACTGGGGGTGTTTTTAAAGGGGACATCCCCCCTCTCCCATTTTGGGGTTACCCGATTTTTGACAACCACCAAGTAGGCTATAGGGACCTAGTTTTGACCCACCCAGTACAAAAAAAGGGGGGGGGGGGTGAACCAAAAATGGGGGTAACCCAAAAATGGGGGGGGGGGGTAAACCAAATAAGCACAGTTTTACAGGGCTCCTTAAAAGATACATTTTGCCCATTTGAAGCATGCCTTTCTCCACCAAAATACAGGGAAACCACCATTTACAAGGCAATGTTCAGGTGTATAGTGTAAGGATCCCTGTTTTAGTTTTGGCCAAGCAGGGAAACCCAAAGAATGCCTTCGTCAGGTGGCGGAAAGCTGCTGCCCTCACGGCGGGAGTGGCTCCTCGCCCGCGAACGGTTTCGAGCGGTGCGAGGCTCTCGCCAATGGGTAGGTCTTGTTGTTGAGGCTCGGTGCCCGTTTTTTGGGGCTCTTCACATGCTTTTGGGTAGACCACCTTGTTGCCAGGTGTTGGTTGTCCCTTATGAGATGGGTATGTGTGTTTTGTTTGAGGCTGTGTACCCTTTTTGGAGTTGGTTTCAAGCCAACGCAAAAGCCATGATCCTGGGACGTCCGATTTTCTATTTAAGACCCGTACGCACTAGGCAGGCAGTGCGTTCATTTCACGTCGAATTTTGAATCAATCAGCACCCACCAGAGGAAAACTGGGTGGGTCAAAACTAGGTCCTGGGTGGGTCAACTTTTGGGGTGACAGCTTTTGATACGGCGATCTCCCACTGCGAGTTCTCTGACCAAATCGATTCTCAGGTCTGCATAGCACCCCAGACGCGACTAAGCAGAGCCTTCCAAAGGGCCTCAAGCCTCGTCGTTTCGCTCCCCCTCAAGTCCGCAAGCAACGGAAAAGCGCCCCTGGATGGATTTCGCCGTGGAGGGCGCGTTTCGATGGCGCCAACTGCGGTGGATGGCACGGAGGGTTGTCGTTCCTTTGGTTCTTTGTGGATTTTTAGCTTGGAAGCTCAGCCTCGTATGCGGCTGGGCTAGAAGTGAGCCAACCTCGCTTGTGACAGGAATCACCGTGGTTGCCTACTGAATGAGTTGAACATCCGAGTTGTTGTCTCTAGGTCTGGGCCAAGCTGCTTTGTCTCAACAAGAGCTCAAAGGAAACTAGAAGGAACCCAACCAGTTTTGGGTGTTAATTCTCATTTTGAGAAACACCCAACTATTATGTGAACGGTACCGCACTTCTAGGGGCTGATTTCCCATTCTTTTCAGCCATCGTTCTTTTCAAAACCCAGCCATTTCCCCAGGGCTTTTGGTGGTTTTCTAGAAAGATTCGGATCCCTGGAAAGAATGGTTGGAAGTGTCCCAGAGAAATCTTCCAAAGAACCGTCTCCTGGAAATTGTCCAGTTAGCCCAACCCAATGGGGAAGTTACCCCTAGAGCACTCTGAACCCCGAGGCAGCGTTTCTGTGGCCCAAGATGGCCTGGGCGCGGATGGCCAAAAGGCTGGAAAGCCTCGGCTCGCGCGCGGAAGTCCGGAAGCAGTTGGGTGGGCATGTGTGCGTGTGCGTGTGTGCCCAGAGGCTCCCTTGGTACCTCATGAGGATGGCTTTTGGGCCCCCGGTAAAAGGGGTCGTTCAGTACCTCCTTAAAAGGTACCAAAGGACCCTCTGGTGTGTGTGTGTGTGTGTCTGTGGTTTTGGAGGGTACCTATTTTGGGTTGGTTTAAAGGGAGACGAAAAGGAATACCACTTTGGGTCCGAGTCCCTGGCACATCGGAGCAAAGGAAGTTTCTGAGCAAAGGAACCCTTCGCAAACAAACTAGCAAGCAAGCGAGCAGCAAACAACCAAACAAGCAAGCAAGCGACCAAACAAAGAAACGAGCAAGCAAGCAAACAAACCAACAAAGGAACAAGCAAACAAACAATCCAGCACACAAGCACACAAACAAACAATCAAACAAACAAGCAAACAAACAAACAAACAAACAAGCAAACAAACAAACAAACAGGCAGACAATCACACAAAGCAAAGACAGACAACCAAGCAAGCAGGCAGGCAAGCAAGCATGCAAGCAAGCACGTGTTCTAGCAATCAAGCAAGCAAACAAGCAAACAACACCATAGCAATCAGCAAACAACCAAACCAACTGGCACACCACAAAGAAACCAAGCAAATCAACAGACAAAGAAGAAGCGCCACCCACCAAACCGCCCGTTTGCTTCACCCGCTAGGGTGGTGAGCCGCTCAGAGGAGCGCAAGGCGCAACTCTTCACCGCCGCTTGGAGTGAAATCAAAAAAACTCGAGGCGGGTTCCACTTTTTTTGACTAGCCCAAGATGGGCTTAAACCCCGGGCTTCCCGTTTTGTGGAGAGCATGAACCAGCCCTAGGTTTAAGTCTACCTAATAGTCAAAACGTGGAGCCCTGCTCGAAGGACTTCGACCAGGTACTTGGTGTTTTTTGTTTGGGCTTGGGGGTTTCTTTCAGAAAGAGGGAGTTCGGGTTTAGTTGGGTCTAGTTCTTGGGTCTAGCTCAAATCAAGACACGCCCATGCCAGAAAGACCGGTCGGGATTGTCCTGTTCTCGCTGCTGCGATTGGTAGGGAATGATCTTCCAGGTGTTGGGAATGACCCTAAGGATCGATTGGTAGGGAATTACCTTCCGGGTGTTTGGAATGAACCTAGGGATTGCCTTGAAGGGAAATCATAGGGGAAGGTTTATAGTCGTTCCCTCATTCCCGGCAGAGCACCAGCAAGTGTTAGCAAAGTTTGGTTGCGCATCTTTATGGGTGCTCGGACTCGGATTCCGCTTGAGCGGAGAACCCAACGGTCAAGAGTTGAAAGTGTCTTCAAGCAAAGGACGCCTCACAAAATGTGTGCTTCCTTTCGACTACCCCAAGGGTGGCTTCCAACAAACTAGTCTAGGCGTGGCGGGGTCATTGCCGTCTCCATTCATGGAGCCTACCGCCTCCCCGCCCCCCCAATGACTCTTCGAGCCGTAGGTGACCTTAAGGCTTCTTTAGGCTTGCCTTGGAGGGTCTAATTAGGTCCCCGATTCGTAGGGATGGATGTTCTGTTTTCACGCTGACCATGCCTTGGCATTTTGGGCCAGCCACACGCATTTGCCACTAGGGCCAGGCGTGTCGGTGTAGCCCACAACCTAGACACTGTCACTCTCAAAAGGTCCTGCCGGGTAGCAGGGAGCGCAATTAGCGTTTCTTTGGAGTGCTGAGCACTGGAGCGTGAGGGAACCGGGGAACCAAAACGCCGCCATAAAGCCGTTTGCGCATACCCCAACCGTTGAGTAAAGATTTCTTCGGGTCCACAGTATGATCCACAACTATGAATGGTTTCTGCGAAAGTGGTGTGAACTCGCCCGGAATCTACATATTTTCTTTTGGCATAGAACAAGGGGATGAGAAGTCGTGATGTCCGCAGCCCGCGGCTTTTTCACTTTCAGTCAGATTCGTTTTGTCCCAGCTGGATTTCGAGGGATATGGTCATGACTGGCAAATATGGAGGCGTTATTTTTGAGGTACTTTCTTTTGGATTTTGTTTGAAGGGAAGCCAACGCAACTCATGTTGGTTCCTTTATTGAAGACAGCCCCCCAAATGTACTTTTGTGAAGCGCCAGAATCTGCCCGTCCCAGTTGCCAAGTGGATCCCCCTTCTTCCCGGCTTGATTTTGGAAAGGGGGTTCCATCAAACAGTCCACCAGGAAAAAAAAAAAACAAAAAAAAAACAAAAACATGTTGCTCCAAATCGTTTCTTTTCCCGTGGAAATGTTCGCCGGGCTTCTTTGGGTCGCACACATCGCGTGGAAACATCGCTGCGAGTTTTTGGGCGCGGCTTGAGGCCCTGACGATCGCCTTCTTTTTCGTGGTCGCGTATTTTAATAGCAGGACGCACCGGCGCGGCGAAATTGTTGGTCTAGGTCCGAGGTTAGAATAAGGGTACCAACTTTTTTTCTGTAGTGAATTTTAGCAGGGGCACCGAATCTCCCAACCAAAAAAGGGGTGAGAAAGTGCACTGGGGGACTTTGTTGTTTTCGTGGGGCCACGGCCATGGGAGGCTGAAAGAAGAGCTTTCTATACCAACACTTGTTGTTGGCCAATGTTAGCTAGTTCTACTTCCTGGTGGCACAGCAATTATAGGGAGGTGCTGTAGAAACCCCTAAATGTAGCGGGGGGGGGGGGGGGGTTGAGGAAGCCCGGACATGGTGTGGGTTCCGGTGCTTAAATGCAGGTCTCTGAACCTCACGATCAGTTCCGACCATCCCGGTCTCGGGAGTTGGGCAAGTATTGGTGTTACTTGACGCATATTGCTTCTGCGGCGGTTTGCTATGTTTCTGTTGTTTGTTGTTCCTTTCATGTTTGCCGGTTTGCTTGTTTGCTTGTTTGCTTTGTCTTCTTGTGTCTTGGCTTGTTTTGTGTGTTGGTTTGGTTTGGTTTGGTTTGGTTTGGTTTGGTTGTTGCTTGTTTGTTAGTGTGTGTTTGTTTGATTTGATTTGATTTGATTTGATTTGATTTGATTGATTGATTGATTGATTGATTGATTGATTGATTGATTGATTGATTGATTGATTGATTGATTGATTGATTGATTGATTGATTGATTGATTGATTGATTGATTGATTGATTGATTGATTGATTGATTGATTGATTGATTGATTGATTGATTGATTGATTGATTGATTGATTGATTGATTGATTGATTGATTGATTGATTGATTGATTGATTGATTGATTGATTGATTGATTGATTGATTGATTGATTGATTGATTGATTGATTGATTGATTGATTGATTGATTGATTGATTGATTGATTGATTGATTGATTGATTGATTGATTGATTGATTGATTGATTGATTGATTGATTGATTGATTGATTGATTGATTGATTGATTGATTGATTGATTGATTGATTGATTGATTGATTGATTGATTGATTGATTGATTGATTGATTGATTGATTCATTGATTGATTGATTGATTGATTGATTGATTGATTTATTGATTGTTTGATTGATTGATTGATTGATTGATTGATTGAGTGATTGGATGTTTTTTGTTTGTTTGTTTGTTGGTTTGTTGGTTCTTGCGTTTGTTTGCTTTGCTTTTTTGCTTGCTTGCCTGTTTCTTTTTTCCCCTTTATTTTCTGGTACGTTCTTTCTTTCGTTCGTTCACCGATCGAGGGATATTGCCTTTCTCCTTCCACACGCTCCTCTTTTCTCCGCAGGAAAGAGGATGACAGCGAGGAGAAGCGTATCAAGGAGGAGGCGCCGAAGCTTAGGTCGACTTAAATGCCCTACTGTGGATGGTTGCGAAGTCCATGTCGCACCGTTCAGAAATCCAGGTTTCTGATGATTCTCCTGTAAATACCAACATGGTTTCGTCAATCCAGGGGGCTTTTAGGTGTCCTCAGAAGATTCATCCAGAACAAACCTGCTTTGCAAGGATTTGGATCCTTTGAATCCTTGGCTGACGTGCATCCTTTCAGGCACCCTGTCCCAAGATGTGCTGCGGCGTGCGGTTTCCTTTTAACTGGGTCGCTAAATCGCCAATCGTTCAACAAACTTCCCCAAAGGAAATCAGAGGCGCGAGAGCTGTGTCGAGTTCAGGACACCAGGAGCTGGGTGTTCCCAGCTGTCTACTGGATTCCACCTTGTTGCTCGATTGATTGGTTTTTGGCGGGAAGGCTTTCCCTTTCAAAACAACCCAAAACAACTACAAAAGGGGGAGCCCTTTCTGCCATGGGCTCCGTTGAAGTGACAAAGTAGCTGTGGCACCCTTTGGCATAGAAGCCAGGGTCACCTCACACAGCCATGACCCACATGTGTTTCTTCTTGTAGGACAAGAACTCTCATCCTTTACAACCAATATTGGTCGTTGTTCAGAGGTCGTGGTCAATTTGCCCCTGTGATTTCACGCACTTGGCTTTCCTTTGGGGTGAAGGTCTTAGAGGGTTACACAAAAACCATGCCCATATCCTACTAATTGTTTAGCTTCACCAAGGGATCAACGAACCACAAAGTTCCCTAGACTTATTGACGCGTACGTATCCCCTACCCTTCAGAACCCTTCGAGCAAAAGGTTCCTTTAAGACCCTTCCGTCAGGGTTTTTTGGTCACGATTCCCTTTATTTCCCCTTCGGGTGGTTTCAAGCATCACGTTTTGGCCCAATTGAACGAGTCTTTTTGCTGGGGTGATGTTCGGTGGGGGAAAATCGGGAGCCCTGTTGGTCATGGAGCCTTTTGTGCTCCAAGTTCGTCTACTGCGATAGCACTGATCGGACAGCTCAACGGGCAGGTGAAGAGGCTGGTGCGCCTGAAGAAGGAATTCGAAGAGTCGGAGGAGCAGGAGGAGCGAAGCTGCGAAACTCCTCGTGAGGGCATGTCTATGGCCACTCTCTATGTGTGTGTGTGTGTGTGTTTGTATTTATAAACATAATTATACATATAAAATCATTTTTCCAATGCGGCAAGTATATCAGGTGTATATCGCATTTGTTCCATAAATACGTATGAGTGTTTTTTGTTTTGAGGGCCCCTTCCCCCCCGCGAAATGGTGGGTTTTCTTGTGGGGTTCCCTGTAAAACCACCAAACATAGAGTACCCTCAATCTCACACACATACACGCACACGGACACACACACACACACACACACACGAGGGTTCTCCCGCCACTCATTTGGGCCATTTAAGATAGGGTGACCCCCAAAAGATTGGTGGTTTGTCAGGTTCCCTTTCAACTTCCCCGCCAAACCAAAAAAACGCAACAACAACAACAACAACAACAACAACAACAACAACAACAACAACAACAACAACAATAAGAAACAGAGAGAAAGAGGGAGACATGTTTCATCATTTTCCCTTCCTCCCTTCGCGGATCAATTCCTCGATCCCTCGCCGAGTTCCTTGGCGCCAAACCGCGGTCCGCGGTCCGCGGTCCGGCCGTTCTTCGAGTCGCTGGCGATGTCAGGAGCTGGATGACGACTCCTTGTCGGCCTCACTGAAGGCGGCGCAGGAGAAGATGGACGAGGCGCGGGCCGTTGAAAATTTTGTTGGCCAGAATGTGCCTCGTAGGAGGCGGAACCATCCCCCCCGAAGAAAAAATGTGTGGAGTTATTGTTGGTGTCCATTTTGAAGCCAACCAAACAACCAAACTAGGCGACCCTCACAAAATGACACACACACACACACGCTTCTTCTTTTTCTCCTGTATCTTCCAACGAGCGTTATTTTCTGCTCAAGCTGCTATTTGATACGTTTTTTGTGCTTGCGAGCGTTTTTTGGGCAAACGAGCGCTATTTAGTCTTCGAGCGTTAAATCAGCCAACTGGAAGGCTGCTTCGCAAAGGAATTGAGGCTCCTTTGGAGAACACTTTGCGCAATGCGAGCAATGTTTTGAACCGAGCAGCAGCTTTCCTGGATGAAACGGGCCAGGCCGCACAACGAGCGCACATTCCCGCTGCAAAAGCGCAATTTCCCGCCACACGAGCGCACTTCAAAAAGTGCTAGTTTTGCCACGTTCGGCGCCCGCTGTAAATCTTGCACATGAGTAGCAGAAAGACTGAGCCCACACGATGAACAGTTTCTTCTTTTTCGATATCAGCATCCGAGCGCTTTTTCTTGAACCGAGCGCTTTTCAGATAAACACGCGGTAATCTGCACGAGCGGAAAATAACGCTCATCGGAAGATTCAGGCTTGTTTTGTTTTTTGTTGTGGGGGGGGGAGGGCTCGCTTGAAACGCGAAGGTTTGGTCCGTTTGGCAATAGGTGTGAGAGGTGTTCCCCCTGTTGAAGCTTGGATTGGCGAGACATCGGGAGGACGAAGACGGCGATGGTGCGTGACTTGATTGCGATTGGAGTTCTAGGCATGCCACAATCCATGACGATATATACAGCCTGTTGACCCATTTGCAGAGTGAAAGCGGGCAAACGGGTAAACATGAGCTACATGGATGGTGTGGGCTAATTGTTAGGCCACCCCGCCACTGGCATGGCGCCCGACAGGGACCCGCAGGTCCCAGAAGTGCTATGTGGGGAGGAAGGGTAGTCCCCCACGTTCAAACGAACCCCCTTTAAGGTGACAAAGTAGTCCTAGCGCTTCCAGTTATCACAAAAGTACAACCCTTGGTGTGGCTTTCTCTCTAGGGTTTACATCATGGGTTCCGCTGATTGCCTACTATGGTGGCTGGAGGCAGGTCCGCCACTGGAGGTCCAAATCTTGGCTTCTCAAAAAAACGGTTTGGTAACGAACTGGAACTGGTGCTGCTGGAGTGGTCGACCCAAAAACCTTGCGGTTCAGATTCAGATGGCTCCCAAAGAGATGGTTTTAGCATCTATCTTACCCGTTGAGTCGGCAAACTTCAGACCTTTTGCTGCTTGCAAGTCTCTTCCTCATGTTAGTTAAGGCCAGTAAACTCCTTTCCGGCAAGGTAAACTCAGCAGGTCACCCTTTAACGGCCAAGTTGGAGTGAGTTTCCTCTGCGATGTTTTGTAGGGCATTGGTTGGACAGTGTTTCTCCAGCGAAGGGGGTGTGATCTCGGAAACTGTTTGGGTGCTCCACCCGCGCACGTGCAGAACATATGAGGGCGTCTTTTTGTGAGGGTACCTCAACAAACACACACGCGCAGACACACAGACACACAGACACACGGACACACCGACATCGCGGACACGCAGACACACAGACACACAGACACCCAGACACGCAGACACGCAGACACACAGACACACAGACACGCAGACACACAGAGACACAGAGACACAGACCCACAGACACACAGGCACACAGACACGCAGACACGCAGACACACAGACACGCAGACACGCAGACACACAAACACCCTGACACGCAGACACCCAGGCACACAGACACACAGACACACACACAGAGACACAGACACACAGACAACGCAGACACACAGACACGCAGACTCGCAGACTCGCAGACACGCAGACACGCAGACACCTAGACACGCAGACTCGCAGACACACAGACACACAGACGCACAGACACAAACAGACACACAGACACACAGACACACAGACACACAGACACGCAGACACACAGACACACAGACGCGCAGACACGCAGACACGCAGACACGCAGACACGCAGACACGCAGACACGCAGACACGCAGACACGCAGACACGCAGACACGCAGGCACGCAGGCACGCAGGCACGCAGGCACGCAGGCACACAGGCACACAGGCGCACAGGCGCACAGGCGCACAGGCACACAGACACACAGACACACAGACACACAGACACACAGACACACAGACACGCACACACACACACACACATCTGTTAGTTGAGTTGCAAGCGTCAATCTTTTTGTTGGCAAGTGTCTTCATCATGTTTTCACTTTTTGGCCAGTCAACTGAGCTGGTCAGGTGGTATCAATCCGTCCGAGGAAAGCCGAGGGCGAGGGCGAGGGCAAAGAGGGGGAAGAGGCAGAAGGCAAGGAGGACAGGCTGCCGACCATTCCATTGCCAGCCCGAAGGCTTACCTTTGTGCCGTGTTGCCTGATTGAACTTCCTCAGAATTAGTTCACCTTTTTGGTTTTTGCTTTTTGGAGTTCCCTTTGTTTTCCACTAACCAGGCTTTTTTTTGCTAGGCTCCTAATTCCAGCCAAGTTTGGTGTTCCATTTTCCGTTTCAACAAGGAAAAGGTAGTTAAGCTTTTGCAGGCTGCTCCCCAAAGTGGGATCATGGACATGGCTTCTAAGTCTGGCCAGTTTGGATCCGGGTCTGCTTTTTTGAGAATGCCCTTTTTTGGGGTGGAACCCAAAAGGAACCTACCCTTTTGAACAACGTTACTTAGAATTTCTGCCTCCCCTGTCAATCGGCTGGTTTTGGGATTTCGTACCTTTTTTTCTTGGCGTGTCCTCTTTTTTGGACCTCGAGCAGTTTTTGGAGACGGCATGCAGGCTGTCAGGTCCTAATATGACCTACTCGAGCAGAAATTGTGTGCAACAACCTCCTCAATCACCCGCAAAACGAGCGGCTCTGGCAGAAATTGAAGAATCGGGCACAAACTGTTTGTTCGAGCAGAAAAAAAGGGCGAGCAAAACAAAAGGTATCAATGGAAGGTCCAGGCTACTTTGACACACATATCCGTTTATATGGGTTTCTGGAGGACAGGCTGTTACCAAAGCCGACCTATCCGTTGGAGGTATGAAACCAAACCCAAACTTGTTTCCCCCAGGCGCAAGTGACTAGCAACAGGTTGTTGAGGTGGGTGGATCTTGAGCACCCAGCCCTGGGCAGGACAAGAACTGGGTTGGCAATGGTAATCAGTAGAGAATTGGGCTTTAGGTTGCCCACGTTTTGCGATACCAAGGGAATCAAGTTCCTTGTGAGAAAGTAGTTGTGGGGATGGGATTTCACAGTGTATCACAGAAAGGGCCCTTTTGTCACAACCCCCAAATGGTAATGTGTGGAAGAGCAGGCAATGAATGGACTGTTCCTCCAAATCATCATGCGTTTTCGCGGCATGTGAGCATCTGACAATATTTAGGGGACCCTAAACGGGCTCTTATTAAACGGGTTCCAGCTTGCACCAAAAGACAATCATGCATTGGATTCAAGACTCAAGCGTCCCACTGTCTGGAGTTTACTGTGTTTCCCAATGCCTTCTGCGTGTCTACAATCCCCCCCTGCCATTTTTACAGTCATGCGCCTTGGGGCTGCGCAGTTGCTTGGGGAGCTTGCAGGGGCTCGGTGGGGCAGGGGTCTAAGGCGTGCCCGCAGACACAGGCATCCAAAGGGTCTAACGTTCAAAAGGCCCAAGGCTCAGAAGTTCAAGGGTCCAACTGGCAGGAGTTTACTGTGTTTCCCAAGGCCCTCTGCGTGTCTACGATTTTCCTCCATGTTGCTTTTACAGTCATGGGCGTTGGGGCTGCGCAGTTGCTTGGGAAGCTTGCAGTGGCTCGTTGGTGGGGGTCTAGCAAACTCTGCTTGGAGAGAAAGTGATTGCCTTGTTGCCGTGTGAAGGGGATTTCGCGCGACGACAAACATCCCCAACTGGCTGGAGCTTACTGTTTTTCATAGGCGTTGGGGTTGTGTAGTTGCTTGGAAAGCTTGCCGTGGCTCACCGGGGCAAGCGTCTAGCAAACTATGCTTGCGAGAGGGCAGAAAGAAATGGGCACAAGGATCCAAGGAGCCGAAATCAAAGGCCCATTGGCCCACAGACACAGGCGTCTAAAGGGTCTAACGTTCAAGAAATCCAAGGCGCAGGTAGCGTTCAACTGGCTGGAGTTTCCTGTGTATCTGTGGCCAGGGTCCAGGGGTTTGAAGGGTCCAAGGATACAAGCGTCCACAGACGGGGTCCAGGATGCAAGGTCCAACCGTAAACCATTAACAACTCAAAAACTATAGCCGCCGGCCCTACTAAAATAGACCACACAAAAAAAAGGGCGCCCGTATTCCCTCGTCTCACATCGGGCCATGACCAAGAGGGTTCCCTGTGAAAAGGTGAATTTCTGTTTTTTCCAAGCTCAAAGCAGCGGTGTGTCCGTTTGAGTGATAGACCCAGGTCAACAAAAACCGGGTCTCCTTTCCTGGAACGGGGTGCAAAGGATGGACAGATTTGTTGCAAGGACAAGGGTGAGAGCAAGGATGATAGCAAGGATGATAGCAAGGATGACGGCGAGGACTGCAACTGAGTGCCGTGCCTGTACTTTCAATCGCTTTGGGAACACCATTTGGGTGTGTCTTTCTTTAGGTGCCTGTCAAAAATTGTGGTTTTCTTTTCTGGTTTTCTGTTAAAAACATAACCACGGAGTGTTTTCTGGGTCAAAGCTTTGCTTGGCTTGAAGTAAGAAGGTCCGTGGACTTCTGGTGGCTCTTTTTGTATGAGACACATGAAACTTCTGATTCGTCTGGGGAGTGCCTGAAAGGTAGACGCCTGACTAAATCTGTGTGTTGTCTTGAAGGTAATGACTGTTGAGGATGATTGACAAGGCAACCAAAAGGAATGCCGAAATCTGTCTTGGGCTCCTTTGTTGTCCAAGTACCTCCTGAGGATGGCTTTTGCGGGGCAAAAAGACAGTACCAGGGACTCTCTGGGATTGAGACAGATGTATGTTTAGGAAATGCCCAAGCCGGGCAACAAGCTCTCAACTACCCACCCCCCTGTACCTAGCGCCCTTACAGATTCCAAAGTATCTTGCTGGTGCTCATGGAGTGTGGGAATGAACCTAGGGTCCCCTTAAAGGAAAGCACAAGGAAATGTGGGAATGAAACCACAAAAAGTCATTCCATTTCTCATTCCCTGGCTTTCCCACCAGCAAGATGTGGTTGTGGGTCAAAAAATAGGGTGCCTTTTTGGGGATGGTTACTCCACTGTTGTCTTTTTGGAAGGCATTCTGGGTGTTCACAAAGGGGAACCCCACGCGTTTTGACCCATAGCCATAGCCACTTGCTCCAAACCGATTCGGGTAGATGGTTAGGTTAGTCAGGGGCAGTCCCAGCCAAAAATATGGTGCGGAATTCCGCCTGCTGATTGGTTTTTTCCTTTACCTCTGGGTCGACCATTCCAATTCTTGGGTTTTGATTGCATTTCCTCGCTGCGCAGGACAAGCCCCCGCCCAAGCCGAGCCCTCCCAAGCCGCCCAAGCCGAGCCCTCCCACGCCGCCGAAGCCGAGCCCGCCCGCGCCGCCGAGTGACAAGGCGCGGCGGTCCGGACGGTTACGAGTGGTACTGTGCCCTGTGTTGAGGGTTTGAGCGGAAGCCACGGAGTGTACTTTTGTTTGAGGGTGCTGTTGACCTGTGTTGTTGTCATGGTTTTGAAGGAAAACCAGGAGGAAGCCGCAATTTTGGGGTCCCCTAGACACACACACACACACCCTTACCCTCAATTGGACCAGGTTCAAAAGAACGCAACAAGTTATGTTTTACCAGCAAACATGGACGATTCCCTCAAGCAGGTTTTTTGGGATGAATCCTGATTTGCATAAGCTCAAGGATACCCAGCCCCAGACCGGAAGCCTCCAGGAATCTGCATTCAAACTCGGCCCAGACCTTGGATCGGTGAATTGATGGTGGCTGTCGGGGAGAAATGCAAAAACACCCTGCCTGGGTTGGTACTTGGGTGTTCGGCCAACTTAGTAAGTTGTTGGTAACCTAGGTTATAAGCCACTTACAAGTCCCCCTAATTGAGGTTAACCTTGTTGCTAGGGGGTTACAACCCAAGTGGCTGACCACTTCCAACCTGGGCACTTTGAGAATTAGCACAACCATTGTAAGGGCCTCCTCACTTGTCCAAAGCTGACCTTTCACCTTTTGCCTTTCCAATGTTGGTCCATGTTTAGTCAAGGTCCCCAAGGTGATGTTCCCAAGCCACGCGGATGGGGCTGTTTAACGACTTCGCCCTTCGCCCGACAGCTGACCCCGAAAGGTGTCATCTGCCATGGGCAAACAAAGATGCAGGGCGAATTAAGAAGTCAAAGGTCCATTGGGGGCAAAATAGCTTTACATACATATACATATACGTGTTACATCTATGTATGATGTGTTGTAGAATATATGTATGTATATATATATATATGTACATATACATAAAGTAAATACATATATGTATACAGGTAGGTTTCAAATGTATAAATCGGCAGGCAATCTAAAACGGACCCCCACCATTGCAGGGGTCCCCATTTTAGGACACACCATATGTGCCATGATCAAAACTCGTTATGGTGGTCATGCTTCCCCACTAGAGGCCCTTCGGCGGTGGATGAACATCCTTTGGGGCGTCAGGCTCCTTTTAGAATAGCCTCCTCACATCCCCCACCCCAGAAGACTTATTTGACCTTCTTCCCTCCTTCCCGCACCGGGAATTCTGCAACTCAACCTGAAATCAACAGATGTATTTTGGGGACTACCCATTTTTTTCGACGGATTCGTTTCATGCATCTACCAACTCACCCTGGACCCATGGTTGACTTCCCGTTTTAAGACAGATTCCTGGAGTGGGGTGGGCCCCTGACCAAAACAGATCTCTCGCCAGGAATAGATCCCCACGCGCTTGGAGCCCGGATGTGTCTTTTGGCTTCCTTAAGCTTCAGCGAATCCACCTTTTGATCTGGCCTGTTGACTTTCCTGATGTCCATATTTACCCTTCCTCCCACAAACATATGCGGGAGGGTACCTGGAGATCCATTTCCTTTTTAAGGGAACCCCTGTCAGCTGCCATGTTCGTGGGGGAGAGTCTTTCGATTCCAACAGGATCACCTTTGCTTTCTGTTTGGTCAACTGAGTTTCCCTAGCAACGAGCGCTTGAACTGGATTCATGCTGCCCGAGAGTAGTGGTCTCCCTTTACGGATGGGGAAACTCGAGATCCCCCCCCCATTTTGAACAACCCGGTGTATGCTTTGGGGCGCTCGGCGCTCGCACAAAAAGTGAGATGGACGGGTTGGCGCGAAGTCGAAATCATACATGTTCCCAGCAACTTAAAGGTCAAAGATCCGGCCAAATGGCACCCAAGCCACTGCCCCAAGAAAACATACCTCCAGTTTTAGTCTGGGGAGGGGTAAAGATCCAAATTGCCGGCAAGAAGGATATAACACTTGTCGCCTTGCAGTGGCAAAAGGACAAGCGCGGTAGAGCCTTGCTGCTTTTGCGGTGTAAGTGACCAAACATAGCACGGATGTTTCTCAAGACAGGGAAGCCCCAACAAGGGTTGTTGCCTTCTGGTGTCCCCTCAAAATCACACGAAACAGGGGAAGCCAGAAGGAAACCCTTCATTTGTTAGACCCATTTGGGGGTTTCTCACCCCGTTTTGGGTGACTTTGGAGGTGTGTGTGTGTGTGCGGCCATTTTTGGAGAAAGCCAGAAGAGAAGAGTTGCTTGGCGCTTCCCAGCTGTTCGGTTCCTTAGGCTTTTAGTTGTTTGGTGTTTAGTGGAGGTTTCCATTTACCCCACTAAAAGTGAAACTTTTCGCGGGGAATCTGAGGACAGCCTAGCCTACCCAGCATGACTTTTAGCAGGGAAGCTGAGGACAGCCTAGCATGCAGGTGTCCGATTCCGTTTCTAGGCTCCATAGTTTTCAGATGCGGTGAACCCCAATTGATTTCGCGGATGGTTCAAAAGCTACTCAGTCCGTACGTGGACTATAACCACGGCTACACGTGGGACAAGAGTTGGTTGATGTACAACAATGCCTACAATCTACTTCCTATATCTCTCGCCAACCTTTTGACCTTTTGGTTTCTCCCGTTTGGTCCATGTTTAGTCATGGCCTCAAGAGGTCAACCTTTGATTTCAGGGTCCGAACTGGGAAACTGAGATACAGGATGAACTTCTAAGGCAGCAGATCATACCCAGAAATAAAAGGTTAACCTTTTGAGGCCATGACTAAACATGGACAACCGTGGGAAACCAAAAGGTCAACAAGTCGCGAGAGATATAGTACGTAGGTTATAGGCATTGTTGCACAACCAGCGGTTGATTTGCTCGACGCCAGCCACGGTCAAAAGAGCCGGTTACTTGGGGTCTGCAGGAACTGTCATCCGCCCTGGACTAATTTGAACAACCGATATACTTCACTGCAAGGACTTCCAGTGAAGAGGTTCATGAGAATGACCCGAAGGTGTTTCAGCCTGGCATCTGTGGGGTGTTTCTAAGAACTGGATTTCGGACCCTCTTGCTGGTTGTATCCAAAGGGAAACCAAAGGAAACCCATGGAAACCCACCGACCGATTCCTATGTTGAGAATCCCACGTGTAGCTAGCGATTTCTATTTTGTGCTTCTCGCAGTCCAGCGGAAGCCGTTTTCCTCTCACTGGCCCAAGCTCCCTCTCAGCTGGGGGTTCTATGAGATGGACGGAAACGCCACAGGTCCACTTCAAAAGTTGATCGACTTGGTGGTCGTTTAACGCTCCACTTTTGGAGGTTCCTTGCAAAGAAGACATGGAGGAAACCCTGATTGAGTCTCCCACTGATTCTTGCGATGGCTATGTGAAGAGCTTCAGGGCCACTTTCTGTGGCAACGGAATTGGAATATGGAAGGCCCCCAGCACGGAGAGTTTGTTTGGTTACCCTTTGAGAAAGAACCCACAGGTTAGGCTCAAGTCTATTTTCTGTTTGGTAAAAGAAGACAGCACCCGGTTTTGTTCCAAGTGAATCTTCTCGTTGATTGGCGAGGTGTCACATAACCCTCCGGTTCCATGAGACCCCTCCCCGGGCTTTTGGGGGGCCTTAGAAGGTACCGAGGCTCCTTTTGGGGTCATATTGGTCATTCATTTGGGGGTTGGTGAAAATGTCTGAACCCCCAAAAACCTGGAGTAAGTGGATCAGCACTGAACAGTGTGTGATTGGGTCGGGGGGTTACCCTGAAAAAAGGCACGCGGAAAATTAAACCACCACACAAAACCACAGCTTTTAGTCATTGTTTCCATCTACCAGGGTGCCAATTTTGGGGTACCGTTTTTTGACCCGCGGGCTTATTTATTTTTGACTCACTCACCAGTGTCGCCATGTCCGTGGTGAAGCGCGAGCGGGCGCGCGCCGAGCGCGAAGAGCGCCGGAAGCGGAAGCGCGAAGCGCTGGACTTGGGGGGAGGCCGGCAGCGTTACCCCCAGCTGGGCACCTCCAGTTTCAAATGGACCTCCAGGCAACACCTCCCCCGCGGCAGGTCCGGCGCCTCCGGCGACGGCTCCCAAGGCGTCTTCGCTGTCTGAAGCGGCGAAACTTCCACCGAAGCAACCCGACGTGGAGCCAGGAGCCTCCGGAAAAATTGGGAGCTTGGTCTCGAAAACATGGCCGCAATTCCTTTTACTTGTTTGGAAGGCTTTTCAAAGCTTCGTTGGCCAGCTTTCCTTTTTACGTTTTGGAGGGCTTTTCAAAGGATCGTTGTTCTTTTTGGCAGCTCTTCCGTGCCTTTATTTGTTTTGTCACACACGGTTTTTGAATGACATGGTAGTGGGGTGAGATTCCTAGGTTGCATCACAAGAAGGGTGATCCATTTTTTGTTCAAGCGTGGGAACTTCTCCTGCAAGCCCTGAAACACGCCGCCGTCGCAGCTGGGGTCCTGACGAGTTCAAATTTACCAAGTGGGTGGGAGTCCCGGTGGGGAGTATGTTTGAGGGAACCCTTCTCAGGTTTGTTTAAAGGGCCGAAAGGAAACCGAACTCCGTTCTTGCGTCCAAGTCCCTATGTTTACACCCAACTATGGGTGTTACAGACCATTTGTGCCATCAAATGATCTTTAGGATGGGAAGTATGATGCTATGACCGTGGCCCACGGCCACAATCAAATCCTAAGAGAAGGTTAGTGAGGAACAGTCAACATAGTCGCGGATATCTGCCCTGGATGTTCTTTACATGCTTTTGGGTATTCCACTTTATTACCAGGCGTTGGTTGTGCCTCACATGCCACAAGTGTGCCTTTTCATGAGGCAACCGAAGGGTAGCCTTTTCAGTTGGTTTCAATTGGAAACCAAAAGGAAAGCCAACATGTGTAGTTTTAACCGGAAACCAGAGGGTACTTGTTTTGAAATGGTCAAGCCAAAAGGGGGTCCCCTTAGAAGCCACATGAGGCTACACCCCACACAGGAGCCACGGTCACTTTCCTCTTCGAGCACGAGAGCATCGAGCTGCCGCTGCAGCGTTTGCCCTTGAGCCAGCAAGCAGTGGAGTTGGGATCTATTGAAATTATGAGCAGCGCACAGAACCAAAAAACAAGCCACAGCACGTGGTTCCGCTACCTGGTTTAGGAATTCTGGCTACCTGGACCCCCAAAGCACCCTTTTGTTTGTGCCTTTGACCGCAAAACAGGTGTACAAAGGCAGCAAAAACGGCTTTGTTAGGGGTGCAGGTTATCATAAACCATTCTAACCATCTGCGCGCTGAATGGAGGTGAATTCGCAGATTAGGTTGAGGGAAACCAAGAGGAACCATTTCGGGGGGGTCCGCCGTACTTCGACACACACACGCACACCCAAATGATTCTACGTATTTCATTATTCACAAAATATGGACCAGAACAATCATAGCTAATGGGCAAAGTCTTGCAGGTGGGACGGGACAAACCTGGCGAACTGCAGGATGTCCAACCCCAGTATGATGTTTTTGTGGCCTACAGGCTGAGATGGCGCACTTGCAACCTTGGCAGACACCTCAGCAGGCGAATGATGGGGAGTTTCTCGCAAAGTTGGATGGCCCCCGCGGTATTCAACGAAACACCAAAAGGAAGCCAAGCACCCTAGCACGAGAAAGAGCCAATGTGTCGATTTTAACATTTTTTCAGACTGCGGGCTGACGGAAGCGTTGGATTGAGCAGCGAGGAGCATGGACTTGTTTTGGCATCTCCTTAGAATATGTAGGTCTGAAAAGTGGGGTACCCGGAAATGGTGATTAATTCCCTTGAGTTCCTTTTAAACCACCCCAACAAGTGCAAGAAGCAATATTTTCACAGGCACATTGCCGGGCCCTCCAAAGTGACCGCTTTGAGGGTTTCTCATTGCTTTGTGTGTTCTGGTTCAAACCTGCCTGGCTCCCAGCCATGCGGGCCCTTAGCTTTGTAGCTTTTACTGGTTTAGTCGTTGGGTTTCCGTATTTCGCAAACACAAAAAGCCACCAGCAGCTACGCGTTTTTTCCGGATTTTTCAGGAGCGAAAGCGGGGGGATGGTTTCACCAGTCAAGTCACGCATCAGGCTCGAGGGAGCTGCTCCAGGCGGGGACGCTCGATACGCAGAGGATCCCTTAAGTACGCAGTGGGCACTGTGAACACGGGAATTCATCCACAGATTCCCCAAACCCACGAAAATATGAGTGTTTTTTAGTGTTTTTGTTTTTCAGGGACCTTTTGTGGTTTTACCTGGGTGTATCTTTTTAAGAGACCTTTTTTGAGGTTTTCAAGGGACACCGACAAGAGAACCGTTGAACGGCCATTTTGGGCGTCCAATGAAAAGAAGACGAGCCACCCATCGCTACTTCAAGTTGGATCCGTCGCTCGGTAGGCTGGCTGCTTGCGAGCGCGGAGGACCTCAGCGGCGCCGCAGTGAGCTGCGAAGAGACGCCCGTGCCGCCGGAGCAGCGCCAGGACTTCGGGGCCATTCGGGGATCGGATAGCTTGTCAGGCTCCCCAAGCTGGGAGACCTTGCTTCCCTCTGTTTGGATTTGTGGTTGAGGGGTGGTTTCCCATCTTCCCCCAATCAATTGAGCCACAATCAAAACCTGGGTAGATGAAGGTTAGTAAGGGACGATCCCCTTGCCATGAATAGCTGCGGAATTCCGCCTTCTTAATTAATCCTGTACAAGGTTCTGGGTAGACCATTTTAGCACCAGGTTTTGATAGCGACTCAATTGGTGGTTTGCTATTGGGGGTAGATGGGAAACCACTTGTCAACCACAAATTCAAACAGAGGGAAGCAAGGTCTCCCAGCTAGGTGCCCTTTTACCGTTTCGTTTTTGGGGGAGATTCGGTTCCCCTACTAAAATAGACTACAGACAACAGTTGGCACCCTTATTCTAACCTCTCTACTGGAGGACCTAGGCTTTGATCATGCTCCACACAAAAAGCAGGGCCGCTACATTTGTGGTTTTAAACATCACTCTTTTAGCGCATGAAAGGTGCGTGTCCCTTAGCGGGGGTGATGCTTTTAAGAGGAAATATCAGGAACCATTAACCAAAGAAACCCAAAATTCAATCCACTATGGTAAACCTTCCTGGTTAAGTCCCCTAAGTATATGATGGGTAAATGCGATCCCAGAAGGTTTCCAGGCGTGTGAGGATGGCTAGAAGGGGGCTTTTGCAGTACAAAGAAGGTACCAAGGGATGAAATCTGGTGAAACAACCAGCTCCCTAGTGCAATTCCTTTTGGAATCCCAAAGCAAGTTATGGTAGTTTAAACACATGTGGGTGTCTTTCTTTCGGGGAACACCTTTTTCAAGGGAGAACCACAGGAACGCCAACCATCTGGGGTGTCCGATTCCTAAACGACACCAGGGTGTGGCCTGGCCCAATGGAAGTTCGCATTTGGACCGCTGGTGTTTTGGGGTCAGTTGCTGTGACTCACCAAAACCCGAGTTTCTGACTTTATCTTACCTCTTAAAAAACACAACTTTTCAACTTTTTGGGTAACATGGGCTATATGTCTGTAAAATATTAACTTCCCCAGGGCTTGGAGTTTTAAGGGGTAAGTTATACATTTTGGGGGCTGGACCATTTTTTGGGTGACCAACAAAAGGTTCCGGGACTGTTTTTGGACCATCCACTCCGGAGGTGAGGAGTGAGAAGCCCTGAATACCCTTCAAATCTTGCCATACTTTAGCGACCTTTTGACCTTCTAACCTTTTGGGTTTCATACATTTCCCGTTTCAACCCCTAAAACATCAACTTTTTGGCAGGGTCTAGGTCTGGCCGAGTAAAGTAAGCAGATACAGGGGTGGGAATCCCATTGTGGTATCACAGATTTAATCTAGTTCGACCTGACAAAGTTTCATGCCTACAGACCCCGCAACTTTAAAACAAAGAAAGCTTGTTTCCCACAAGCCACCTAAGAGCCCTTCTGTTCGGCTATTTTTTGGAAGTCCTGGGTTTTCCAGGTGAAGTTACCGCCGGCATGATACCCCGCAGCCATGTGGCTGTGGTTGTCAAAACCGTTTTGGGATCCCATGTTGGGGTAAGGTGAATTCACCACCCATTTTGGAACCTATTTTAGTGGTGGGATTGGAATGTACGCTGAAGGTACAGGCTTTTGACCCATGGCCCTAGGACAACCCCATCTTTCACACACTTGGCCATGGATTGGAATGGGATTGGAATGAATGGAGGTTCGATTTTGATTTCGACCCATGGCCATGTCGGGTTGGGTCGTTGGCTAGGCCTTCCGTGTGTTGCTCCGAGTCCTGGCGGAGCGTCAACAGCTGGGCGTGGTCTTCAGCCGGCGGCGCCACGGACGGAGATTTCGGCTTTACTAGGTCCCCCAGCGATCGGTGCCCTTTGACGCTTTCTTTTTTGGGGGAGATTCGGTTCCCCTACGAAAAAATAGACTGGAAAAAAGGGTACCCTTATTCTAACCTGTCTACTGGAGGACCTAGTTTAGCTTCGCCGCTCCCAGTTGCAACCAGTGGGTTGCTTCCGTTTTTCATTTTTGCTGGAAGGGTTCCGCCCTTAAAGTCAACCAACCCAAAAAAGGATGGTGATTTTTTTTCCCATGGCCACTGGGCATCTGAGTGCTACAGTTGATCTTGATCTTTAACCTTCAATTTAGCTTGGTCCATTTGGGGTGGTTTGGCTGTGGGTCAAAAATAGGTACCCCAAATGGAACCCCATGGAAACATGGACTGAAACCTGCGGTCTCCTGGTGGTTTAGTTTTGACCCATACCCAAAGGTTTCATTTGGGGAGGAGGGCATGGCGAAGCTTTCGCCACTTTCTGTGATACTAGGGGAGTCCAATTCAATGAAGCAGTCATGATGGAGATCACCCGTTTTCCTTTCCAAAACGGCATGGCATGTGCCAGGAGGGTTTGCCCCAGTATTGGGTGTTTAGTCCCATAGGTTTTCGGGTAAAACCACCTCGCTGCAAAAGGTTTCACCTTTACAGGGGCCTGGACCCCCAATGGACCCGTTTTGTTCTGCCTTTCACACCTTTTTGTCGGTCAATGGCAAAAAGCGTTTTTCTTTTGGGGGCGTGCCATCGACACCTAGAGTCTATTTTGCAACCCTAAAAACCCCTAAAAAACCCACACCCTAAAAGAAGGAGGTTGCGGGCAAGTCCAGAAATTCCAGGCCAGCACGGTGTTCGCAGCTCGCGCTTAGGCCAAAGCATTTGGTGCACGCCTTCCTCGTGTGCCACCTGCTGGGACTCGAGCACTGTGCCATGGTTGTCGTTGGGAAACATTTTGCATTTTCGCTTATTGTGGCTTGGTGGTGGAAATCCAAATCCACTTCTGGTTGTTGTTGGGATGTTTTTTTTGGTTTTTACATTTTCGCTTATTGTGATTTGGTGGTTGAACTCCAAATCCACTGAACCGCTAAAAATCTTCGATTTTTTGGCTCCCCAAACCCAGCGTCAAGCAGCCAAGGTGCCGCCGAGCTACGGGAGACCTTCCTCAGGCGCCAGCTTGGGCGAGCCGAAGCTTAGCTGGGGGGGGGGGACTGGGTCGAGTCGCCCACGGGCCTCTTATCTCCAGGATGGCTAACGGGGGGGGGGGGGGGGCAAAAGGGGTCGTTCAGTATTCAGTACCTTCCTTATAGAAGGTACCAAGAGAGAATTTGTGGGGACATGTGTGTGTTATAGATTTCTTCCTTGAGCAAAAGGAAACTCAGCGGACGTTAGAACCCCATTCTCAGGTAGCCAAGGTGTTCACCACCCTTTAAACACCAAAAGAACAACCGTGAAGGGTTAATTACCTAGGCAATATGGATATGCGAAACGCCTGCGCTTGCCGCTTGGCTTATGAGCCCCAACTTACAAGGAGCTCTTCCGTACGGCGAGCTTTTGAAGGTCCGTTGGACTTCCGAGAGTTTCCAGTCGAGCCCGGGTTCCGTTTTTGGACTGCCCCAAGTTAGATTCAAACCCGGGGCTTGATTTTTCCCAACAGTGGAACCCCTGAGTTTAAGCCTTGGGGGAACCCCAAAAAGGAACACCTGGTTGGGACATATCTGTGAATTTGCAGAGGGAGGATGGAGAAGCCTTCCTTGAATCCTGATCCACAGGACCTTCCTGGAAAGCAGCCCAAGGGCCGCGCTTGGATTGCTTGAAATGGAACCTGAACCTGCCCCTAGTTTCGGCGCGGTTTTTGGTGGTATGTTTCCTATATGTGGGTCAAAACCGTTTTGGGATCCCATGTTGGGGTAGGTGAATTCACCGGCCATTTTAGAACCTATTATTTTAGTGGCTGGATTGAATCGGATGTTCACTGGGTACGGGAATTTGACCCATGACCATATTCCCCTACTAAATGCCCTTATTTCTTGCAGCTTGGCACCTCCAGCTTCACGAAACAAATCCGGCCAAGTCCCTAGGTGGCGACATTCGCATAGAGGAGGAGGGACATAGACTGACCCAATCCCTTATGAGTAGCAACCGCACGGAATTTGCCAAAAAGCCCTGAGCTTGGTGGGTATTTAGCTTGGTGGGTATTTCAGCTGTCAGCTGTCTTTGTGCAGGATTTCCTGTAGCTGGCTTCTGTGAATCTAGCGGTATTTCTCTCTTCAAACAACCCTGCTGAGAATGGGTGTGCCTCAAAATACGGGACCCCGCCCCAAGAAAAATGCGGTTTTCCCTTTTTAGTTCTTCCTGCTACCACTATGGTGAGCAACGTGTGGCTTCCTCACATAATTTCCCTTTGTTACCTACCAGAGTGGCTTGCCTGGAAGCACTGGGAAAAGAAAGCAGCGACAAACTGCCCAAGACAGATCTTGCCGACAGGGCGTCCTGGCTTGGACAAATTCGGGGATTAATAGTCCTTTAGTGAACACATCAACATGGGGAAAACAGTAGTCGGGTGTGTCTTTTCTTAAAAGGCGGCCTACATGTCTCCCCCCTTGCTTGTGGAAAACATACCTAGACGGCCCTCGTCAGCTTTTCCAGGGTAAAAACGCCCTCGGCTGGCCGCTCAACGCAGGGCGCCGGCGCAAGTCCTGGCCACTTGCCGCGGCTCAAGCGCCGCCGCTCGGATTCCGATTGGCGCACTGGGTAGGGTTTGGAAGCCCTGGTTCTTGTGGAGGGTAAACGGGAAACCCGGAACACTTCCAAACGGTAATCCAAACCACAAGTAGGTAACAGGCAGGCCATTCTCCTTTTACTTTCCTTTGAGGGTAAGTAATGCCAACTGATGGTTTTTCACGGGTAAATCGGAACCCTTGCAAATCGATCCAAAAGGCAGCTTTTTTCTTGGTCACAAGGCGTTGCAAGAAAAAAGCTGTCATACGGCCAATGACGCTTTTCTTCGCTTTGTTTTCAATATTGTATCGACAAACTGCGGGTTTTATACGGTCAAATAGGGGCAAATGGCCGGAAAAAAAAACAGGTGCAAACGGGCCAAATACGTCGACCGCTAAAAAAATGCCTTTCAACGCTCTCCCTTAGACCCTGGTCTCCGCCCAAAGGACCCTGGTCTCCGCCCGTTTCAAAGACCCTGGTCTCCGCCCAAAGGACCCTGGTCTCCGCCCAAAGGACCTGGAAATAGAAAGGAAAGGTGGCCACAGTTGAGTTTTGACACAGCACGGGCCACAAGGGAAATGCAGCAGTGGACAGAGTCGAAAGCGGCAACCAATTGTTGGGTTCCTTTCTGGAGGAATACCAAAATAGGATGGACATAGATCACTAGTCCAGGTCCCGTGAACAATCCCCTTCCAGTTGCCCTTCCGTTGGGGTTTGCCCAACCTGCTCCAAATCTCCAAATATCATTTTTTTTTTCGGGGATGTGTTGGACCACTCAGGTGAAATCCAGGGCAAACAACTGTTTTTAGTAGAGGGTCAACATCATACCCAGTGCTTCCAGCAACCACTATACCAGGTCACAGGGCATCTGACCTCCGAGTTTTATCTTGGATGGTTTCCCCTACTACAACTAGGTCCCCCGGTAGTGCCCTTCTCCCCTACTAAAACAGACAAAAAGAAAACACATGGTACCAACTTATTCTACCCTCTCTACTGGGTTGGACCTAGAAAAGCTGGAAGCGGCTTCGGCCACAGCATCTGACCTCTGAGTTTTACAATGGATGGTTTCCCCTGGTTACCAAAAGTTTCCTCTGGTTCCCCCTTGGATGGTTTCCCCTTGTAAGCTGCAAGCGCTGGGACACCAAAAAGCGGCGGTTGTTACATTGTTGGGTGCGCCCATAGGCTCTGCTGCGCGCGCTGGACCTTGGCCTGGCGCAGGCGGGACCCGCGGGGATTTCAGAGGGACTTCGCCTTGTGTGCATGTTGTTTGTTTGTGTGTGTGTGTGTTGTCTTAATCTTTCAACATTACAAATAATGTATTAGTCAATAACACTAAAAAGGATAGTCACAATAATGATGACAATAATAATGATAATGATGATACTAAGAATAATAATAATAATAGTAAAAATAATGATGATGATAATAAGAATGATAATGATGATACTAATGATAATAACAATAATAATACTACTAATAATAATAATAGTAATAATGGTAAGATAAGGATGACAATAATAATACTAATGATGATAATAACAATAACAATAATGATAGTAACAATGACAGTAATAATAGTAATGATAATAATAAGAATAACATCAATAACAATAATACTAGTAGTACTGTAATAATGATGGTAATAGTAATAATAAGGATGATGAGAATAAGATGAATAATAGCAATGCTAAGAACAATAGTAATGAACATAGTAATAATGGTGGTAATAGTAATAACAATGATGATGATAGTAAGAATAGCAATAAGAATAATAGCAACCAGAATAACAGTGATAATAATAGCAACACTAATGATGACAATAACAATCATGTTGATAGTACGAATACCAACAATCATGATAATAGTATCACTAGTGATAATAATAACAATAACAATAATATGTATATTTATAGAATATGTATATACATATATATATATATATGTAAAAACCACATTTAACAAGCAACAATACACACATGCTGTTTTTTGACGGTCGCTGGGAGGGTTGGGAAGGGTGGGATCTGAGTACAAATTGATGCAAGGAGTGTGAAGCAAGGGCAACCAGACCCTTGGTGTTTGTCAACGGGCGATCAACATACGGCGGGTTCAAGACGTGTGAAACGCACGGATGTCGCCAAAGAGTTTCGCCTCTTCCTACATATTGGCAAGCTCCCTGGGTATTCAAGCAAGCTTGAGCAAGAGCGTTAAGTTTCTTGATGGAGAGCACCGCCGGAAATGCACGTGGCGGACAAGATCCCCACGACTTGAGCCAAAGGCCCACTTCCAGCTTTGTTTTTTTTGCCCTTTGGGAAGGAGAGTGTTGAATGCCGGGACAATCCTGGGACCTTTCAATTGGCATGTTGCATGTTGCATGTAAGGTTACTTAAATTCCTTACCATTGATCATCTTAGTAGAACCAAAAGCCAATGGATTTTGTGCCCCGCCTTCATCTGCTGGACCTCTATTGGGCTTCTGTCAGGACAGGCTTGCTGGTGTTGGGCGCATTCCTCGCCAACGGGCCATTGGGACGAACAAAAGGTCAAGAGTACCCTTGTTTTCTGGTTTCAAAGGAAAACCAACCAGGAAACCACATATGTGTGTTTTTTGGGGGGAGGTTCCCTAAATGAAAAGTCGCACCCATAGCCCTTTCGAACGCAGCTGGAAACAGCTTGCAGAGACGGTTGCCATCCCGCAACGCCACGGTTGTTGGGCCAACTCTCGGCGATTTTCTTCTCCGGAGGTCGGGAGCGCCCGCGTGCCGGAGAGCCCGTGCCTGAAGTTGCACCAGGCAGGGCCTTCGGTTTTCGGGAGACGTTTTGTTTGTTTTTCGACCCCCCCGGCACTCTTAGGGGTTTTTCCGAGTACTTCACGGGGGTCTCGGACCCCACAGGGTATTTAATATTTTAGGGTGGACTAAATATGAAAGAGAAGAAGGTATGTTAGTTCCCGTGTCCAGATGAGCCAAGTCGTTGGTGAATGATAATGAACATGTTCAGTTTGGACTACTTTGAGGTAGACTTGAGGAATTCCCCTAGGGATCAAGTATGTCGTGGCTGGAAAGCTGTTGGTTACACGTTGAGATAAGTTCATTGTTTGCTTCTGTTTGCAGTACCATCTTTTGAACAATCGTGGAAGTGCATAGGACGGCTTTGGACGACCATTATCATCTTTGAACACCTCCCTGTCCTTTGATTTTAGGTGTTGTGTAAGTCTGATGTTGTTGTTATCAAACTTGCATCAACGTTTAAGGCACCCAAACATAAATGCGTATCAGTCTAGAATAAGCAAATGCATTTTGCAACGTATATACACATGTATAGCTAAGTACCGCTTAATTTAGTGACCAATATAATAATATATATATATATATATATATATTTGTATATATATATATATATTATGTAGTAAAGGTCTATCAAGTTCTTGAATTCATATTTTCCATTTTCATGAATGTCAGAAGCCGGGCAAGTATGAATCAAGTGCAACATATTCTCTTGAAACAGTGGTACGTTGATTTGCGCCCTTTCGCGCTTTCTCCAAAAGTCTTCGGTTCCCATTCAGAAGCCTGTGCTGTGCTTGATTTGGACGTACCAGAGGATCCCTTTTAACGGAGACTTGTCTTCCAGGACCCCGAAACGTCAGGTTCCATGTGGATGGATTCGAATGGACAGGACGATACATTTCCTCACCAGGTTTCCCTTGGGTTTGGCTTCTGGGGTTAGGCTGTTTGTTCAACGAGGCCCCGATTGGGATCCGTTGAATATTGAGTGGTTCCCTTTCCCTCCAGATTAACAGGGAACCCAACAAACTCGTGGTTTCCCTCTGCTTCGAAAAGGTATCAGTTGGATCCTCCAAAACACACCCGTATCAGTTGGCAACAATTCAAAGAATCCTGCTAGAGGAAATTCTCTCAGAAATCAGCTTGTTTTGGGTGGGGGTGTTTTCAATTGGTACAACTCCTGGAGTCCATGAACGATAGATATGATCAGCACCCCCCAACAACTACTATTTCCCATGCCCCAGAGAGTCCAAGTACTCCATGAGGATGGCTCTTGGGGGGGGCAAAAAGGGTCTAAGTACCTCCTTCAAAGGGCGTAGGCCAACCAAATCGCCGTGGTGGTCAGTGGACCCGGCGGGCAGTGCCTCCGCAGGCCGCAGAGTTCCTGCTGCGTGCGGAGGGATCGTCGCTGCTGCTGGCACGGCAGCTGGGCAGGGTATTGGATGCCTCAGGCGCGAATCGGAGCGATGCCCTCGAGAGCCCCGCAAATAGCTGGGAAAAGATATGGGTATGGCTCAAAATTAAAGAGCTGGGGTTACGCGCTTTTAGTCTTTGGTTCCATTTACCAATGAGCCATTTTGGTACCACTTTTTTGAGCCACAGCCATATAGATCACCTGCACAAAAGGCCCAAGTAAGTACCTTTCGAGGAGGTACTGAACGGCCCCTTTTGGCCACAAAAGCCATCAGGAGGAACTTGGAATATCTGGGCTTAAGGGTTGATTTTTCTTTTCCAGTATCTTTTACCATGCTTCTTTTCAAAGCTGTTTCCCCTGAGCTCTGGGCAAGTCAGACCTTGCATGAAGCAAATCGACCGGTCACTTCTCCAGAAGGCCGTGTGCCACAAAATTAAAGGGCGGCCTCATTTTTTTCAGAGAGCGTTGGTAGAAGGACCCAACTCGCTTGGCGAGAGAAACAACAACTGGGTAGCTCGTCTCTTTCATCGTGAACCCCTTTTTGGCCACAATTAACAACAGAAAACCGAAGAAGACGGACACCTTTGCCATTCTTGCCCCTCCCCCCCCCCCCCCCAATTTTTCAGACCACACCAAAAACAAACTCCGAGACGGAGGTCTCTTCCGGAGCACGACGGCGCAGGCGAGAACCTGAGCACCCTCTGGCGCGCGGCACGGCTGCTGCGCCTGGAAGAGCCCCAGCTCCTGCTGAAGGCCAGCCGCCGCTTCGCGTGTCACGGCATCGAAGCGCGGATTTTTCACATGGCCGTGGTGGTCACAACCGGTTTGAAAAGGATCCCATTTTGGTTGGGATTGGTGAATTCACCACCCATTTTAGGTTACCAATTTTAGTGGTTGGATTGGGATGTTCACTGGGGGTACGATTTGGATTTTGACCCATGCATGGAAGGTGCGCAAAGAGTCCTAAAGAATGTGGTGTCTCAGAAGGGACCTTCAAACCCAGAACCCGGGCAGGCAAAACCAAAGAATCCGTTTTCTTGCATGTTGCTCGTTTCTAAGAAACTAAACCAGGCCGTTGGATCCACCAAAAAACCAGATACTGGCGAACAAATCCTGCCGAAATGTTCTGGAGGTTTGTTAGATGGCAACCTTGAAAGTCCTTCAGGAGTCCTGTGTTTCTGGAGCCCTCTCTGCTTGTTTCCTATTGTCGCAGTCACAGTTGTCCTTCTTAGTCTGGTTAGAAATAGATGGGCAGGTTTAGAGTGGTTTTCTTCCATTCCAAAAGGTCGTCACGGCTTTGCTGCAATGCGGGGGCCCTTTGCGTGATGTGGCCACCGGATCCACTTGTAGTCCAAAACAAAACGGGACTGGCCTTTTTGGCCGGGCCGTGTTTTTGTTCCTCAACCAAACGCCCCTTTTGTGGCCTACTTTTGCCTTTTTCGTCCCAAGGGGTTGCAGAAAGAGAGTTTTTTGTTTACTCTTTCGGTTGTGATATGTTTGGTGGGGGATGCAGATGGTAATGTCGTTTTGCTAACAGGAAGGGAAGGGTGGGACGTGGTGATAAGAGTGTTTGCGCAAGCATCTCCATGTAAATGGCTCTTCGAGCCCAAAACCAACTCAACGTTTGGGGGAATACTAAACTCACCTCAAAGCGAATTGACCGGATCTGTGGTTTTGTGGTTTTCCCTTGTTCCATTCGTGGCACCTTTCCGGTGATCACCTTGTACTTGTGGGTCCCATCCCCTGAGTAAACCTTTGGAGGCAGGGATCCACCTTTGTGGGTTCCTGAAACATAGCCCGATGATTCCAATAGGAGACCATGATGGTTTCCCCACAAGGCTGAAAGGAACCTCAGCGGGCTTTTTGGGACTCCTTGTCCTCTAGAAAAAGCCTGGGTTAACCAAAGTCCTTTTTTTTGGGCCTCCTTGTCGTCGAAAGATTCCCGGGTTGCGTTCCCCGGGGCTGGTGGTTCTGGAGCGCGGGCGAGGGCCGGGTGCTTCGGATCCACGCGGATCAGGCGGCTGCTGAGCGCCTCCAGGTGGATTTGGGGGAGGAGAGTAAGAAAATTCGATCGAAGGGGCTGGCTGGCAAGGAGGTGGGGAGTGGGCGGGGGGTCTTTTTTTTGGTGAGATTGACTAAATGTGAAACAGAAATAACAATTCTGAACAAGCAGAATCTGAAAAACCGAGCTGTTTATTTTGAGGATTGAACCAACTATGAAACAACTATTTGCAACTATGATGTTAGGTGTTGGGCCAAGGAATCTTTGTCAAGCTGTTTGGGTTTCGCTCCCTGAGTTCTTCGATCTTGGGAAACATATTTACCCAAAAGCTCTGACTTTTGTTTGTTCAATCCACTCAGGTGAGTGAGAGCTTGAATTCCGTGGCTGTCCTCCGAATCAAGGCCTCCCTGGGCAATTTTCGTCTAAGAGACTCTTTTGGGTTCCAGCGTGCTGAACCTCACGAGAGCTTCCCGGCGGACCTCACCGCCGTGCGAGAGTACCTCAACCTGGGGCCGGAAATGGCGCGCGAGAAGCAAGGGCTTCATTTGTGGAGACCTGGCGCACCGCCTAAAAGTGGCTGCGGGCGTGACAGCTCAGGCCCATGAGCTGCCTGGTGCCACTGCCGGCCACACTGCTTTCGCCTCGCACGAGACGCTCGAGACCAAGAAAGGCGGACGAAAACCGCGGCCGAGGCCTTGCCAGTGCTGCAAAAACCTCTTCCCTAGATAGCCAAGTTGCTGCTTTTTTCAGTCACTAGTGTTGGTTTTCGGGGTAAAGCGCATGGAAAGAAAACAGCAACTGGCTATCCAGGTCGTTTAGTTTTTGGTTTCCCTTTGAAACCACAACGCCCCCATCTGATGTGTTCGTTGAGCCCCGAAACGTTCTTCCATGAACTTTGCGGCTTTGAACCAGAGGGACTCGCTTGCGCCTGTTCCCTTGGTACCTTCTAAGGATGTACTGAACGACCCCGGTTGGCTCCCCACCACGCCATCAGGAGGGAAAGCCACAGTGGGGCACCCGTCCGGTCCTTAGGAGGTACCAACGGGTCCTCTAGGTTCTGTTCTTCCCATGTTGGACTTGTTTTTGTTCGCCAAGGTCTCAAGGCGATCACGTGTTTCCAAGCCCGTTGCTTGCAGGTGATTGTGATAATGGGCTTGTGTTTTGTGTATATATATATATATTTATATTATACATATATATATATATATAGATATATATATATATATATGGCTTCTTTTTTGTCCTGTGCAGTGTTCGCAGGGGGTTGCAAAGAACATCATAAGATGCCACATTCCCGAACCCAAAGTACATGTTTTTCCGATTTGCTTTCTGTGCAGCGTTAGATGCCGCATTTCCCGAAACCAAAATAGGGCAAGCGAAGATACCCTTGTTGAGGGGCTTTACGAGATGTCCCACTTGTGCCGATGAAGATATTAGAGGACATTGCCCAGCGTCATGTTTTGCTTACACCTCAGGCTCGTTGCAAAGTGAATGATCTTTCTCGCAGGAGCCGTTGCTTCGCAGTTGCAGCGCTCGGCGCGTTGACCGGCCTGCGCCGAAAATGGTGCGATGACGTCCTGCCGTCGCGGGGGAGATGGAGACTCGGGCTCCCGGAAGAATCGCATCATGAGCCACAATCAAACCCGGGCAATTGGAGGGTAGCAATTAAGGGTGCAGCCGCCTTCTTAATTCTTTACATGGTTCTGGGTAGACCAGTTAACGGTACCGACCGGTTTTGATTGTGACTCACATGCACGGTGTAAAACTGGGCCAGTGGTGGACATAAAGGTTGGAGCTGTGGAAAACTGTTTCGTCAACTTGAGTTGTGATTTGCCATTCCTGACCTTTGAACATGTTTGCTCTACCTGAGTCAAGATTCCGCAAGGCGTTGTCCTTTTTGTCAGTTGGCTTGGTTGCAAGTTGAGTTCAACTCTGGCGGATGGCCCAAATTGGAAACTTTGTTTGTTTTTGGCAAAGCCCTCGCTTCCCAGAGTCCGGACCCCCCAAAATGGTGGTGTTTCCTTAGCTTTCCTTTAAAGCCACCAAACAATGGGGTGCCCTCAAAAAATGTTGGCGGCAAGCCAAAGGTCAAGGGCCAAGGGACTTGTTCTGACTCAAGAAGTGTTCAGTATTGCCGCCTAGGCACGCACCCAAGAACCTCAGCGAATGGTCTAGAGACATGATTTTTCTATACGTCAAATGGGTCTTTCTCGAAGGGTCCCTAATTGGTTGGTTTCCTTTTCAATACCCAAAGGGCGTTAACAAAGAGAAGTCCCAAGCTTCTTCTGGGATGACCAATGCTTCTCCCGAGCGGACCACCTCCCACCCAAGCCAAAGATGGCAGCCTTTGGCATCTTCAGAGACTCTACTCCCCCCCCTTTGCTGCCAACCCCCGCAAAGGTCGGGGGCTTGACAAGCCTTAGGCCAAACCTTGCGAGTCCCTAAGCGACTAAACGGCTTTTTGTGGGGGATGTCCCAGCCTGATGTGTTAGGGGTGGAAACTGGGAGACTGGGAGCGATGAAAGTACATATGACTTACATGAAGTACACCAGTTCCAGCAACTCAAAGGAGGCTTGCGACCAAGACCTCCTGGAGTGGCAAATCATCACGATTCAATGAGATCTATTCAGAGTCTGTTGCCAATGTCGGAAAGCCCTTCATGTTTCATGGCCTCTTTGCTCAGTAGGAATGAGGGAGTGAATCCAGGGTTCCCTTGTTTCATGGCCTCTTTGCTCAGTAGGGATGAGGGAATGAACTCAGGGTTCCCTTGTTTCATGGCCTCTTTGCTCAGTAGGGATGAGGGAATGAACCCAGGGTTCCCTTGTTTCATGGCCTCTTCGCTCAGTAGGGATGAGGGAATGAACCAGGGTTCCTTGTTTCATGGCCTCCGCGCTCAGTAGGGATGAGGGAATGAACCCAGGCTTCCCTTGTTTCATGGCCTCTTGGCTCAGTAGGGATGAGGGAATGAACCCAGGCTTCCCTTCTTTCATGGCCTCTTCGCTCAGTAGGGATGAGGGAATGAACCCAGGGTTCCCTTGTTGCATGGCCTCTTCGCTCAGTAGGGATGAGGGAATGAACCCAGGCTTCCCTTGTTTCATGGCCTCTTTGCTCAGTAGGGATGAGGGAATGAACCCAGGGTTCCCTTGTTTCATGGCCTCTTTGCTCAGTAGGGATGAGGGAATGAACCAGGGTTCCCTTGTTTCATGGCCTCTTTGCTCAGTAGGGATGAGGGAATGAACCCAGGGTAGGGATGCGGGAATGAACCCAGGCTTCCCTGGAATGAACCCAGGGTTCCCTGGAATGAACCCAGGGTTCCCTTGTTTCATGGCCTTTTTGCTCAGTAGGGATGAGGGAATGAACCCAGGGAGGGCATGAACCCAGGGTTCCCTTGTTTCATGGCCTCTTTGCTCAGTAGGGATGAGGGAATGAACCCAGGGTTCCCTTCTTTCATGGCCTCTTCGCTTAGTAGGGATGAGGGAATGAACCCAGGGTTCCCTTGTTTCATGGCCTCTTGGCTCAGTAGGGATGAGGAAATGAACCCAGGGTTCCCTTGTTTCATGGCCTCTTCGCTCAGAAGGGATGAGGGAATGAATCCAGGCTTCCCTTCTTTCATGGCCTCTTCGCTCAGTAGGGATGAGGGAATGAACCCAGGGTTCCCTTGTTTCATGGCCTCTTCGCTCAGTAGGGATGAGGGAATGCACCCAGGGTTCCCTTCTTTCATGGCCTCTTCGCTCAGTAGGGATGAGGGAATGAACCCAGGGTTCCCTTGTTGCATGGCCTCTTCGCTCAGTAGGGATGAGGGAATGAACCCAGGGTTCCCTTGTTTCATGGCCTCTTTGCTCAGTAGGGATGAGGGAATGAACCCAGGATTCCCTTGTTTCATGGCCTCTTTGCTCAGTAGGGATGAGGGAATGAACCAGGGTTCCCTTGTTTCATGGCCTCTTTGCTCAGTGGGGATGAGGGAATGAACCCAGGGTTCCCTTGTTTGATGGCCTCTTTGCTCAGTAGGGATGCGGGAATGAATGAACCCAGGGTTCCCTTGTTTGATGGCCTCTTTGCTCAGTAGGGATGCGGGAATGAACCCAGGCTTCCCTGGCATGAACCCAGGGTTCCCTTGTTTCATGGCCTCTTTGCTCAGTAGGGATGAGGGAATGAACCAGGGTTCCCTTGTTTCATGGCCTCTTTGCTCAGTAGGGATGAGGGAATGAACCCAGGCTTCCCTTGTTTGATGGCCTCTTTGCTCAGTAGGGATGCGGGAATGAACCCAGGCTTCCCTGGAATGAACCCAGGGTTCCCTTGTTTCATGGCCTCTTTGCTCAGTAGGGATGAGGGAATGAACCCAGGGAGGGCATGCACCCAGGGTTCCCTTCTTTCATGGCCTCTTCGCTCAGTAGGGATGAGGGAATCAACCCAGGGTTCCCTTGTTTCATGGCCTCTTCGCTCAGTAGGGATGAGGGAATGAACCCAGGGAGGGCATGAACCCAGGGTTCCCTTGTTTCATGGCCTCTTCACTCAGTAGGGATGAGGGAATCAACCCAGGGTTCCCTTGTTTCATGGCCTCTTCGCTCAGTAGGGATGAGGGAATGAACCCAGGGTTCCCTTGTTTCATGGCCTCTTCGCTCAGTAGGGATGAGGGAATGCACCCAGGGTTCCCTTAAAGGGAACCACAATAGATGGTTTTAAGGGTCATTTCTTTTTCTTTCTCTCTTGCATGCCCAGCGCTCTCTCTCTCTCTCTCTCTCTCTCAGCGCAAGCGCGTCGCTTCTCCAGTCGCTGAGGCATCCCTCACCTTTTCCGGCGAGTTCCGGGAGGCGATGTGATTCGCTGGGGCAATGTGGGTGTGTGCCAAGATGGGTGAAGGATCCCTCCCCCAAAGGAAAAAACCAGAAGCGATGTGCCAAAGTTCCCTTACCAAGCAGACCCAGAGGTCGTTCAGGATCCCAGTCCAAACCCGGTGGGCCTTGGGCCATCGCTTTGGGTATAGGCGTCCAACAGACTTCATATCGCCCGAAGCCGATTCCCGGTATTATACAAATCTGTTTGACCATGT